TCAACATTATTTGAACACAAAGAACATATAAAGCATAAAATCATCCTTTTTTTAAATCTCGTAATCAATAGGTAAACAATCATACAATAACTTCTAAAGAACCAAAGTTTTAGCTGGTGACACATCATTCAACCAAATCAAGTTTTCCTAATTCATATGTTTTATACAAGAAGAGTAAAATTTTTTTGCAACTTTTTTAGAAAGCACATTTGTATCATTTAGAATCCAACTAGGACATCCTCATTATCATCAATCACTAAAGAAGAAAAATCACATAAATTGACAACAAAAGAAGGAAAAATTAGTGAATACCTGTCTAGGTCGAACTAACAACAAAAGTATAACCTTACTTTGTCCAAATAAAGAAATATAGCCAACTTAGATAAGCAAATGACAGAACACCATCGATCAATTGAATATGCTTAAGTTTAGTCTAAGTCATTTTGTCATAAGTAAACTCCTTAAGTTATAACTCACCACCACTAGACCTAACATAAAATCATATTATAATTATAAAAATTACTTTTATTAAAATATAGTTCAATTAGACTTTGAAAGTTTGTTAACTTGTAACATTAGCGCCTAACAACCCTAATTCTATATCACTAACATAAAAAGCCCATTTAACTTTGCCTAATATGTCGTAGGTTTAAGAAAAGTGAAGTCTATAGACACGCGGTAACACTTTTGAAATTATTGGGGACGTTTAGATTTTAATTCCTTTAAAAACTGAAACCTATAAAAGAACAGACTTTGATCTTATAAGAATCAGTGTCTAAAGTTTCCAATAATTCCAACAATGTCACTGAATTTAAAATATTTTATTTTAGTATCAAGCTTTTAAGCTTTTGTTCTTTATAAAATTAAAGCCTATTAATTTATAGGGTTTATTTTTATAAAGAACCGAAACCTAAAGCTCTACTTAGGGTTAATTTTTGTGAAATTTTACAAAGTGCTAAGTCCCTATTCTATTGTGCCACTATAGTAACTTTCATCCTCTCCTCCTCCTCCATTACGAACATTTTTCTTCCACCATTGTTGCTCATTTCACTACCACAAAACATACTTTTTAAGTCTGTTATTTCGGACTTTTTAAGTCTGTTTTATGACAGACTTCGATTCGACAGACTTAAATTTTAAGTTTGTTGTTGACTAACAAACTTAAATTTTAAGTCTGTTATTGACTAACAGACTTAAATTTTAAGTCTATTGTTCACCAACAGACTAAAATTTTTAGTCTGTTATTGTCCAACAAACTTAGTTCTTTGTATATAAAAATCGTAGCAAATTTAACTCTGTTATGACCATAATGATAACGGTTGATTTCACCGTTATTTGAGAGTAAATTTTAATATCAAATGAACCCTTTTTGACTTAGAAACTTGTTTGTTCTCTTGATTTTGGTTTATTTTAGGAAATAAGAGAGTTGAAGTTACACTTGAAGATTTTATCACTAAATCTCCTTGGTTTTGTAGGAAATTGTGATGAATTGGAATATGAGTTAAGTTGTCAAGAAGTTAGAACTCATAAAGGACAAAAAGAGCACTAGAAGAGAAGGTTGCAAAAGCGAAGATGACCGAACGGTAACAGCGAAGACTGAACAGACTCTAAAGAAAGTGTGATGGAAATGCAAGAAATGTAGGAAATCGAATGAGAAATGCAAGACTAAAGCACAAGTAAAAGCTAAACATAACAAGCAGAAACCAAATGACCCTAAGAGTTAGACCGAGCGATAATTGAAATCAGAAGAGGAACAAAGAAACGTCGAGCGGTCTCTAACAATGAAGTTAGAGACCGAACAATACACTACAGCAAGCGAATGCAACTGAAAATGGTAAACGAAATGAGTTAATAGAGAAGAAATCCGCACGGTAGTTGAGTAGAACAATTAAAACTAGTAAACACAGAAGAAAGTCGAACGGTACAACTAAGAACCTAATGGAATTTAGAAATGAAAAAGTAAACAAGCTAATGCAGAACAAGGTCGAACGGTATAAAAACATTTAAACATCAAGCTAATGGAACCGAGACCGAGAGACTAAACTAGAAAATAAAGACTAGCCGAATGGTAGCTAAGGGGTAGGCACTCACAGACCGAACGGTTTGTCAGTGAATAACTCTTCACAGATCGAACGGTTTTAACGTAGCAAAACAAAACAACTAGAAAACGAATTTTAAGTGTAGAATGAAATGTAGTGTAGATTTGATCCAAAATTGAAAGCAGTGCGGCCAAAACTAAATACGATATGCACAGATAAGCAGAAACTATTCTGACGTGAATGGAAATGCAATGAACAGTGAAAAAGATGACGACGAATAGTGAAAAAGATGAATGATGCAATGAACAGTGAAAAATGACTTAAAGAGCAGCTGTATGCATTACAATTTAAAGAAAATACAATCCTTTGATCAGTTCAAGCAAGAGAACAACAAAAAGAAAACCTCTTGGAGCTCCCTTCACCCCCTATGGACACAACCACTATTTCGAGAAAATGAAGAAGTACCTTTTTCGTGTAGGTGGCGGCTACACTAAGACCTAGGGTGCTAAGTCAGTCACCCCCACTTTTGGGCCTAACCTACTTTTCCAAAATTGGCCCAAAATGCACAAGTTGGTTCAAAAAGTTCTAAACAACTAACTTACAATTTAACTAAATCTAAAATGCCTAAGCAAAGAGTCTTGCATTATGTGGCAACCCTTCTAATGTCCCAAAATTTCAAAGAAAAATCTCAAAGAAAAATTTCCCCCAATAGACCACACTTAAACTACACAATGTCCTCAATGTGTCACAATCATCAGATTAACAATGAGAACAATAAGAAGATATAGACAAAGTGCAATAAAAGTGAGGAGGGAAGGAGAAAAGAGAACTCCCTAAGTCAGAGGGAAAGAGAGGTGGGGTCGACCAAAGACGTCTCCTCCACCACTGCATCCAACAAAGAAGGATTGTTGAGGAAAGGCTTCAGTCTGTGCCCATTAACCTTGAAGCTTTCAACTGCGGATGAACCTTGGATCTCTACTGCACCATAAGGATAAACATTAGTCACAATAAAAGGTCCAGTCCACTTTGATCTCAACTTACCCCCATGAGTCCGAGCCTAGAGTTATACAATAAAACTTGTTGGCCAACCTCGAAGTCCTTTCTAACAATAGAACTATCATGGAACTTCTTTGTCCTTTCTTTGTAGAACTTCGAATTCTCATACGCCTTTAATCAGATCTCATCCAATTCGTTTAGCTGCAACTTTCTTTCCTCTCCAGCTTGGTCCATGGAGAAGTTGCAAGACTTCACAACCCAGTAGGCCCGATGCTCAATCTCAACTGGTAGATGGCATGTTTTTCCAAAGACAACACGATAAGGAGACATCCCTATGGGTGCTTTATAGGTAGTCCTGTGGACCCAAAAGGCATCGTCCAACCTATTACTCCAATTTTTCCTATTGGGCTGGACAATCTTCTCCAAAATCCTCTTAATCTCCCTGTTTGAGATCTCTGCTTGCCCATTTGTTTGAGGGTGGTAAGGTGTAAAGACTCTGTGTACCACCCCATACTTCGTTAGCAAGGCTTGCGTTGATCTGTTGCAAAAATGGGTTCCTTGATCACTAACAATTGCTTGGGACACTCCAAACCTGCAAAAGAGGTGAGATCTAACAAAATCCACAACAACCCGAGCATCGTTAGTTCTGGTGGCTCTAGCTTCCACCAATTTTGAAACATAATCTACAACCAGGAGAATATGAGAGAAACCAAAAGAAACAGGAAAGGGACCCATGAAATCTATAACCTATACATCAAATACCTCACAGAACAACATGGGCTGTTGAGGAATCTGTTGTCTCATTGAAAGTGATCCTCCTGATCTTTGACATGGCTCGCACGTGTTGCAAATCCTCTCAGCATCCTTAAAGATGGAGGGCCAATAGAAACCACAATCTAGCACCCTGCGAGCCGTTCTTTGAATTCCCAAATGACCACCAGGTGAGGAGGCGTGGCAAAACTGCAGGACAGAGTAAATCTCATGGTTCGGAATGCATCTTCTTTTAACCTGATCACTACACAACTTCCACAGATATGGGTAGTCCCAAATGTAATACTTAGCATCGCTCTTAATTTTAGCAATTTGAGCACGCGATGCTAAGGAAGGGAAAACAGAAGCAACCAAATAATTGACAATATTTGCAAACCAAAGGGTAGGGTAAGAAAGTGAAACCGTCAATAAGCTTTCATCAGGAAAGTTATCCTGGATAGGCAAAACATCGGCTTCATCGTCAACTTTCAAGAAAATCGCTAAAAATTCTAAGCATGCACCGTTGGAAGGTACCAGGGGCGTTGCATAAGCCAAATGGCATTTGCCTATAGGCAAAAGTGCCAAAGGGGCAAATGAACATGGTTTTCTATTGGTCCTCAGGAGCAATATTGATTTGAAAATAACCAGAAAACCCATCAAGAAAGCAGTAATGAGATTTACCTGCCAAGCGCTCCAACATCTGATCAATGAAGGGTAGGGGGAAATGATCTTTCCTGGTTGCTTGATTGAGCCTCCTGTAATCAATGCAGACTCTCCAGCTGTTCTGCACTCTAGTAGGAATCAACTCATCCTTCTTATTCTTTATCACGGTGAGGCCATCTTCTTGGGCACAACATGGATCGGGCTCACCCATTGACTATCTGATATGGGGTAGATGATCCCATCTTGCAAAAGCTTGGTCACCTCCTTCTTGATGACATCCATAATCATAGGGTTTTACCTTCGTTGTGGCTGCCTAACTGACTTTGCTCCATCTTCTAAAAGAATTTTGTGCATATAAGTAGAGGGGCTGATGGTAGGTATGTCAGCCAATGTCCAATCAATGGCTCCCTTGTGCTTCCTCAGCACACTTAGCAACTTCTCCTCTTGAACAACATCAAGGGAGGTGAAAATGATCACCTGGTTCTTCTCATTATCCTCCAATTATGCATACTTGAGGTTCTTTGGTAGTTGTTTAAGCTCAAGAGTGGGTTCCTACAAGTCAGATTCATTTGTACTTCCTGCAACGTGGTTAGTGCATTCTGACTCTAAAGAATTCACAGGTAAAGGCAACACACCCAACTCATCAGACTCCAATTCAACATCCATTATAGATAAACCATCAACACCACTACTATCATCATCATCATGAATATCACAATCCACAAGAACATCAACATCAATTTCAAATTCTGATTCAAAATCAGATTCAATGAATGAATGTAGAGAAGATAGAAAGGGATGCTCTTTCTCATGCAAAGAATCAAACTCATCAACAACATATTTATCAATAATGTCATCCAGAATATCAATCCTAAAAATAGAGTGGTCCTCAGTTGGGAACTTCATTGCATCAAGAATATTAACATGAACAACAATATCAACACATTCCATGGTTAAAGTTCCGGCATACACATCAATTTTGGTTCGGGCAGTTTTCAAAAATGGCCTGCCTAAGATGATGGGAGCGAATCCATGAGAGAATCCCTCCTCCATTTCCAAGATATAGAAGTCAGTAGGAAAGATCAATTCGCCAACCCGAACCAAGACATCATCTATGTAACCTATCGGGTGGGTAACACTCTTATTGGCCAACTGAATGACCACACTCGTAGGTTGTAAAGGACCAAGAGACATGGATTTAAATTGAAAGAGGCATGACATTTATGTAAGCACCCAAATCAAGCATGGCATTTTCAAATTTACTATTTCCAATCACACAGGGAATGCAAAATGTACCTGAGTCAATGCACTTTCCAAGAATGTGCGGGACCGACTTACCAATGGGCGCGTATACATTCTTGACCATGCTGATCCTCTCATCTCCTTTCATTTTTCTCTTATGCGTGCACAGGTCTTTCAAGAATTTTGCATATCTAGGAATATGCTTTATGGCATCAAGAAGAGGTATGTTCACCTCTACCTTCCTGAATGTCTCCAATATTTCTTTGTCCACCTCTTCCATCTTTTTGGTAGGAATTGCTTTTGAAGGGAATGAAAGAGGTATAGCTCGGTGCACAGTAGGAGACTCACTGGTGGTGGTGGAAGAAGAAGGTCCACCTGAAGAAGAGGCACAACCACCGGAAGAGGAAGAAGGTCCACCTGCCTCAAATGTCCTAGTAGGACTTGCCAGGTCCTTCTTTCTCTGAGAAGCAATAGGTGTAGGTGTAGGTGCAGGTGGTGGCACTGTAGGCACAACAATTTGCTTCCCTGATCTGAGGTTGATGGCACTAACATTTTCATTTTTAGGATTTTGCACAGTCTGAGAAGGCAATCTATCAGAGTTTTGAGACTATGCTTGATTTAGCTATGTGGCCATCTGCCTCATTTGATTGGTCAGGTTCTGGATGGACGCCCTGGTCTCTTGTTGGAACTGCATATTTTGAGCAATCATCTGCTGAAATTGCATATTCTGAGCAGTCATCTGCCTCAACAACTCCTCTAATGTAAGCTCAGAAGAAGAAGTGGAAGGTTGGGGAGCTAGCTGGGCAGGAATCTCTTGTTGTTGTTGCTTCTGATATCTCTAAACATGTGGAGGCAAATATGGTCTATTAGGGCCTGCAGCATTCTGGAAATGTTGTAGTTGTTGTTGTGGTTGTTGTTGTGAATTATTGGACCATCTAAGATTTGGGTGATTCTTCCACCCTTGGTTATACTTGTTGCTAGACAAGTCATAATTTTGCTGCTGCGGTTGCCTGTTGGGTTGTATGTTTGCAACATAGGCTTGAGATGCATCATGGCCAATAGGTTGCTGCAAAGAAGGGTAGTCATCTGTATAATGATCACTAGAAGGACATATAGTACATAGCCGCGCAACAGATGCAGATGGAGATGTCGGTCTCTGATTGACACTCAGTTGTACCACTAAACTCACAAGAGAATCAAGCTTGTTTTCCAATTTCCTATCAGCAGATGATGAAGTTTGGGTAGCAATATCGTGTACTCCCCTCACCACAATGACATCACTTCTACCGCTAAACTGTTGGGAGTTGGAAGCCATTTTCTCAATCAAGTGCCTGACTTCAGCAGGCGTCGTCTCTCCTAATGCTCCACCATTGGCAGCATCAATCATACTCCTATCCATGTTGTTGAGGCCTTCATAGAAATACTGAAGAAGGAGTTGCTCAAGTATCTGATGGTGAGGACAGCTTGCACAAAGTTTCTTGAATCTTTCCCAGTACTCATATAAACTCTCTCCACCAAATTGCCTAATCTCAAATATGTCTTTTCTGATAGTTATGGTTCGAGATGCTGGAAAAACTTTCTCTAAGAACAACCTCTTCAGATCATCCCAGCTGGTGATGGATCTAGGCGCTAAGCAGTATAACGACTCCTTTGCTACATTGTCTAGTGAATGAGAGAATGCCTTTAAGAAGATATGATCTTCAAGAACATCATGAGGCTTCATCGTGGAACAGACAATATGGAATTCCTTCAGATGCTTATGCGGACACTCACCTTCAAGGCCATGAAACTTAGGCAACAAATGAATTAGTCCAGTTTTGAGAACATACGGTATGTTCTCATCAGGATATTGGATGCACAAGCTTTCATAAGTGAAATCAGCTGCAGCCATATCCCTAAAAGTCCTCCCACGAGATGGAGGTTGTGCCATATTGTTCTCAGTGTGAAAAATAACAGAATTAGAATCAGAATCAAGTGCAGATGCAACAGATGTAGTAGATGCAATATGCACAAAGTATTGAGCAGAAGATTCAGAATCAGTAGTAAGATGCAAAGTATCTAATGGAACTAACTCAAAAATAGACTCTAAACATAAATTCCTAGAATGCCTACCTAACCTATAAAACGTCTTATCAATCTCAGGATCAAAGGGTTTATAGGCTCAGGATTGCCTCTAGTCATACATTAAGTCACAACACTCTACAACCGTGAAATAATAGCACAAAATTGGCAAACACACAAAACAACCTAAAAAAAATAAAACACACACTCAAACACACAAGACAGAACATCAAACTCGCAACAGAGGACAAAACACAACACACACTAACACAACAAAAGACCTAAGACCGAACCGTTGGTCCCTGGCAACGGCGCCAAAATTTGATGGGTCTGTCGCGGCCCATGCAAATTTGATGTGCAATAAAAGTGCAGTATAATACTAGGAAGTGACTCCTAGGTCGTCTCTCAAGGACCAAATGTGGTTCGAGACTTAGGTCAAACACGTAGTGGGGGGGTTTGAAAGTTTTTTTTGCAAGGAACAATAAACTAAATTAAAATTGGAAATTGAAGACAACAGAATATTACTGAAAACAATGAAAAATGTTGAAAACAGGACAGACCGAATGGTCCTAAAGTGAGACCGATCAGTTTAAAGGTGAAAAGTTAAGTTGACAGAGCGATTCTGAAGATGATCGAACGGTAAAAGCGGAGACCGAACAGTCTCTAAAGAAAGTATGATGGAAATGCAGGAAATGAAGGAAACCGAATGACAAATGTAAAACTGAAGCACAAGTAAAAGCTAAACATAACAAATTGAAACCAAACGACCCTAAGAGTTAGACCGAGCGATAATTGAGATCAGAAGAGGAAAAAAGAAAGGCCGAGCGATCTCTAACAGTGAAGTTAGAGACCGAACGGTACACTACAGCAAGCAAATGCAACTGGAAATGGTAAACGGAATGAGTTAATAGAGAAGAAATTTGCATGGTAGTTGAGCAGAACAATTAAAATTAGTAAACACAGAAGAAAGCGGAACGATACAACTAAGAACCGAATGGAATTTAGAAATGAAAAAGTAAACAAGCTAATGGTGAACAAGGTTGAACGGTATAAAAACATTTAAACATCAAGCTAATGGAACGGTAGCCAAGGGGTAGGCACTCACAAACCGAACGATTTGTCAGTGAATAACTCTTCACAGATCGAACAGTTTTAACGTAGCAAAACCAAAGAACCAGAAAACGAATTTTAACCGCAGAATGAAATGTAATACAGCAATGGAAATGCAAATTTGATCCGAAATTGAAAGCAGTGTGGCAAAAACTAAATACGAGATGCACAAATAAGCAGAAATTATTCTAACGTGAATGGAAATGCACTGAATGGAATTAAACTGATTCACAAGATCATCTCTGGTAACCCAAGAACGCAACAACAGTAGAAACGCAACGTGCACAGTAGAAACCTAAAAATTTGCAGTAGATGACGACGAATAGTGAAAAAGATGAATGATGCAATGAACAGTGAAAAATGACTTAATGAGTAGCTGTATGCATTACAATATAAAGAAAATACAATCCTTTGATTAGTTCAAGCAAGAGAACAACAAAAAGAAAACCTCTTGGAGCTCCTTTCTCCCCCCATGGACACAGCCACTGTTCCGAGAAAATGAAGAAGCCCCTTTTTCGTGTGGGTGGCGGCTGCACTAAATCCTAGGGTGCCAAGTCAGCTACCCCCACTTTTGGGCCTAACCTACTTTTCCAAAATTGGCCCAAAATGCACAAGTTGGTTCAAAAAGTTTTAAACAACTAAATTACAATTTAACTAAATCTAAAATGCCTAAGTGAAGAGTCTTGAATTATGTGTCAACCCTTCTAATGTCCCAAAATATATTTCCAAAATTTTCCCTGCAACCAATAATGAAAATAATGAGCTCACATAATTCAAATTAATTAAAATAAGAATTTCTAGTCAAATTAAGCACAATTAGAAAAAAAAATGGGGAAATAATGGACATTCAAGTACAATTCCCTGATTAAATCTAGCATAATAAGCTAAGTGAAGTGAAGAAAATATTGACTCATCACCCTCAGGACTGCAGCTACGCATTCACGCCTGGGCGCCCTTTTTGGGGTGTTGACCGCCATATTTCCTGCAACGTTTCATGCCTGAGCGCCCTCCATTGGACGCTGAGTGCCATTCTTTCGCAAGCACGCCTGAACGCCCTTAGTAGGGGCACTGAGCGGTGGCAACATTGGCCCATGGCCCAATTCAATCCTATTTAAGGATTAGCTCGACCTAGAGAGGGTATCTCTTGACAAAATTAACACAAATTCAGATTTTGTTCAATTCTCTAGAGGCAGAAGTGGATGCGAAAGCTCTCCTCTTCAGTTTTTAGGGTTTTTCTATCTTTTTCATTCCATTGTTCATCTAGTTTCTCCATGACGATGGAGAACTAAACATTATTTGTTGTTGGGGGATGATGTAACCTTGTGAACTCTCATGTCTTTGAATTGATCTTAATTATATATGTTTCTTTCATCAATTGTTAGGGTAATTCTTCTTTACTCAATGCTTGTTATGTTTAACTCATTCATGATATGATGTATGATTTGCATGAGTATCGGGAGGTATCTTACAATTCATGTTCTGGAGGATTGCTCCCAAAAGCAGTATTTCTCAAGGATGGGGATATGAGTTTTGGTCATCTTAAGCCCTAATCGTATTGCAGAATTAATTATTAGGGATGCAAGGGATTATGGTCTAGTAATTAAGGATATGCTTTCTTCGTCGAGGGATTTGGTTTTAAGTAATTTAGAGAGTGATGTTAACTATTGAATGAAGAAGATAAATTGATATATGCATGAGAGTAAATTAGGTGAAATCTAAACCCCAACAACATATTCATCTCATATTCAATATCATCCATTCAAATTTGTGTTTTTCTTTCAATTGGTCAAAAGATCATTCATATTTACTTTCTTGCTTTTCATTCAAAATTCCAAATTGTTCTTCATAAGTCTTAATTAGTTAAGTAATTACATGACAGTCTAGTGTCGTGAGTCTCTTGGGAAACGATACTTGGTCTTACCATTTTATATTACTTGATACGATTCGGTACACTTGCCGACATCTTAACAAGTATTTGGCGTTGTTTCTGGGGACTCGTGGTTTAAACTATACTTTTGTGTGATTCTTAACCGATTAGACTTTATCTTTTATTTTTATTTTTATTTTTTTATTTTTTTATTTTTTTATCTTTTTATCTTTTTATCATTTTATCTTTTTATCTTGTTATTTTTTTATCTTTTCTATCTGTT